ATTTATATTATTAAGAATAGAATAGAATAGAATATATATACTTTATAGAGTCTACTACACCTTCTGTCTGTTACAAGTGTAAACTTTGACAAAACCATTAAAATAGAGATTCTGATTTTTTTTCTATGGAAAGGAAGACTATTGTGAATTATATTGAATACTTAACTCTTATGACTCAAAATGTAATTTAACAGATGTACAAACATAATAATAATAAAACTGATAAAAATAAACTAAAATCTATCTATAAACATATTTATTGCTTTTCTATGATCTTATGGCGAGATGCGTAAAGAGTTTGTTTTCAAAGTTTCCCCAATTTTGTTTCAATTTTGTCGTCATCATCATCATCATCTTCCACTGCTATGTATTAGTAGAGGACTGCACAGAGCAGCTATCAAAATTGAATCCGCGAAAGAGAGAGAGAGAGAGATAGACAAAAATAGTTGTTGCTGAACGTAGTTCCGGCTATTGATGAGTGTTGGCTCAGTGGGGCATTCGAACAGGGTTGTTACGATTGTTAGTGGAGGAAGAAAATATCGACTAACGATTCGAGATTCTCACGGACAGTACAGACATAAAGTTATAAAATTATAAAATTATAATATTAACAAATTTATTCAGCCACGACATAGAAATCTATTTCAGGCCGAATCGAACATGTTTTCACCTTGCGGTCGAAGTAATCAATATGGTCTTATATGTATGTATTGATAGATATATATGTGACAATTAGATCACAAGAACTACGTCTGGGCAAACAAATATATAATCAATACGGGCAAGCTTCGAATCTGTACGGGTTATATAAACCCGTTCCGCAGCGGGTTGAGAGAACATTCTGCAACTGAAATGCCAAAGTGCGATCTATGCCTAAATCAATTAGTACGCTTCCAACTTAATTTGAAACTAGTTTTCGATAGTAATTGGGGAAACACAGTGACTCGCTGAGTGTTTACCGATGGCGCGATGCTCTTCAGCTCTGCCAGCCGGATGAGCTTGTTCTGCTGCCGCTCGCCACGCCCCTTGGCGGACTCGATGTGATGCACGATGCGCCGCTCGTAGTGGAAGATGTCATCGGCAAACAGATCTGCCTCGCGCGACACAATGCCTGGAATGAGATGCACGTTGCATTAGGGATTGACTTCTCTGATGCTCTGATTATTTGAGTGCTTACCCATATTGATGGCAAAGTCGCGCAGGAGCAGCTTATAGCCGCGCACGACCTCCTCGTCGGCGTCCGGGCCGTAGAAGAACTTGTCCGGCAGTCCCACCTCGCCCTCGTCCAGGGTTATGACGTAGTCGTAGGGCACATTGTAGCTGTTCTCCACACTGACCCGATAGTAGGGAAAGATCCCGAACTTCGTTTGCAGTAATTTCAGGGCATTCTTGTACTCCCAGTTCTGCAATCGATTCGTTGCCGAAATCGCCTGCCAGCCACCTGAAAGCAATGGGAAGAGGAAGACAGTTATTAACATGCTGTAATCCAATATCCGGAGGAATGACCCCGCTACCCGCTCCCTCTGCCCCTCCTGCTGCGCCTCTACCGACGATGGCAACATCGAGCGGCGCTAATGAAATTCGACAAAAGCACCAAATATGAAATTTGGCACAACTTATGACAACTTCCACTCATACATATTAGAGCATTACGAGCTGCCTGTGTGTGAGAGTGTGTGTGTATATTTTTGGGTTTATAGCAATTAAAAGCGCTAAAATGTTTGACTGCAACGTCTTGGAAATTTCAGACCATCATGCAGTCGTAAAAAAAGTCCAAGTATCAGATTAATAAAAACAAATGAAAGCGCATTGTATAACAACAACATTTGTATGCTCTATCCAAGATAAGATCATCGCAAGATGTCAATCATGACAGGGTACTATCTGCTATGGCAGATCGTCAATCAGCCCAAGGCCTCAAGCAGGAGCATATTGACGGCGCTAGTTATCGCTAGCGATACCATTGCTTTTGACTGAGGAAAATCTTTGCCCTATACAAGATACTCAAGCATAAACCTGCTAACCTGATTCCAACGACCCTTCAACGATCATTTTTATTTTTTAATTTCTCTAATTGAGTTTGTATGTTGTAACTGTAAGTTAAATGGGTAATCAAGATAAATACTTTTTTAGTCAGATACCCTGTAGATCAAATAAAATAATATAAATGAATCACAATATGTCAAAAGAAATCAAGCATAGATGAGTGAACCTATGTACCGTTTTCCGGTTATAACGACGGCCTCTTGAGCGTCGGTATAATAAAATTCTAAATTATGTTGGTTCTATCGTTACAACCCAAAGAACTTTTTTTATCTAATATGTACATTATCTATAGCATGAATGCTTTATCGACTTTATATTTAGTATTTTTCCATTCAACTCTTATCAGAAGTCCGAAGTCATCAATTTCATTGACTCCGACAGAGACAGAGACAGAGTGGGAATCCGCCAGATCGATCCGATTGAATCAGTGGACAGCGTCAAGTGGCATCAGCCAGCTGATGGCGACATTGGATCAACTATTTGGGAGCGATTGTGTCAGCTGTGTTTGCAGCATTAATTAGCGCCTGCGAGGCGAAACGAGTGAAATAAAAGCCCAAAGCCTCATTCTCTAGGTCCGTGCTAGCCGGATTTGTGTGGTGTTATAGTTATATTTCATTTTAACAATTTATTGCAAATCAATGCGAGCAAATTAATTAACTTCAATTAAAGGCCAGCAGCGACACTCTCTATATAAACTGAGCGCTGTCTCCAGACAGGGCATCAATTCACCGCAGCTCCTCCAGCGCTCAGCTTCATTCAAATCCGACCGCGTCCACATTGTCCAACAGCATGAACAAATTTCTGGTAAGTCGATGGCAGATAAACTGGATAGGCGCAAGTAGACGCAAATGATCCAACGATCCGCAATCCATTTGCAGTTTTTGGCCTGCCTTGCAGTGCTCGGCTGCAGTCGCTGGGCAGCAGCGCGTCCTGATCTCAGTCGTCAGGCCTACCGCTACGACATTGGCCAGAACGACAACCTGGTGTCCGGCCCTGTGGTGACGACATCCACTTCGTACCAGCCGACTGCATCGGGCACCACCTACTACAACAACATACCCTCTGTGGGTCAGCTGGTGACGGGTGGGGTCAACTCCGGCTTCGTGCCCTCTGCTCAAGTGGGCGGCATTCAGTACACCAGCAGCAACGGCTACTCCAACGGCTACTCCAACGGCATCAGCACTGGCAGTGCCAATGGCAACGGCATCTACACCGGCGTGGTCAACGATCACATCGGTTTGACTGGCATCCGGCCAGGACCCGTCATCAACTACAAGGAGCAGGAGGCGTACATCAGCCACTTGGCCAACTTCCAGCCGCCCATCATCAGCAAGCACTTCTACCTGCACACCGCGCCCGAGGACCACGATGAGCAGCAGATCGTCCGCTATGTGAACGTGGGCAAGCCGCAGAAGAACTACCGCGTTGTCTTCATCAATGCGCCCGCATCCACCACCAGCAAGGCCAAGATCATTGCCAACGTGGCCCCAGTCGAGGAGAAGACCGCCATCTACGTGCTGTCCAAGAAATCGAACGCACTCGATGTCAGCGCCGAGGTGGTCACACAGCGCCCCGTCACCAACAAGCCCGAGGTTTACTTCATCAAGTACAAGACTCCGGCGGAGGCAGCGCATGCCCAGCAGACCATCCAGGGTAAGTGTAGTCTAGGCTGTGGGCAACGCGGGTTACTCTAATCAATCCATCTTCTACTTGCACTTCAGCCAACTACGATGCCTTGGGCGGCAGCTCCAGCCTCAGCGATGAAGGCATTGTGCCCACCTCCTCCGTCATCAACGCCCTGGGCGACAATGGCTCTTCCGGCGTGATCAGTGACGGCAGCGGCGGCGTCAACATCGTTGGCACTGGTGGCGTTCCCATTAGCGGTGTCGGTGTCGGCCTAGGCCCCTCCAACGATAACCTGCAGATCGGTATCAACGCTGGCGCCAATGGCAACCAAGTGGCGACCGGCTCATCGAATGTAGGCACCAGCATCCAGACCTCATATCTGCCCGCCAAGCCCATCAGATCCGTCAAGTACTAGACGTGCCATCTGCATCCCAACTATCCCAACCAAACATGCCCAATCAATCCGCCGGGCAGCTCCTCGATGGACGCTGCCTGGACCCAACACGCGCCCGACTCTTGATTCTGATTGAATAATCCATGGCGATTATTTGGCTAGAATACGCTAAGCTTGACTCTTGCGATATTCATTTTAGATACCTTTGCGACTGATGCAAAACAAATGAAAAACTATTTTTTTTCTCTATTTTTTTTTTAATAAAATTTAAGGATTTCTTTAAGCATTCAAAAAAAATGCAAAGGCTGGTAAAGTTTTTTTTTTTATTGGAATTGGTTTGAATGAAAGTGAAGAACATACAGTTGGGAGATTCCCGATCTAAGATCCGGGCATCAGCATTAATTATAAAAACTTAATATAATTAACAAATTACAGAAGCAGGTGACACACAAGACACCTGACGGCCTGCCTCACCTGCTTGATCTGGTCTCAACTATTTGGCAAGCTCTTCATAATTGTTGAAACTGCATCGAAAACTATAGAAAACCAACGGGGCGCCTAGCCCCTGCCGGAGATGGCGCGACCACCAACCAAAAGCCGATGGCAAATAAATTAGCGTCTTTATATAAAAAACAAAATATAAATAAATAAATAAATAATAATAAGAAAAAGAAGAGGAAGAGGAGGAAAAACAAAGCTGTATCACAAAGGGAAACGTAGAGCAAACGCGCTGCAAGGTCAACTCACAAATGCAACGCATTAAAATACCAGAAAGTATTACAAACTCTATATACATATATGGATATATCTATACATACATACAGACAAGACACACACACACACACACACACACACACACACGCACAGTGCGCTAACAAATTTATGATCAAATATATGGATTACATCGCTGGCAGATGCTACCTGGTATTCGGTATCAGCATCCATCTATATCTCCCCTATCTGAGCGCATCTGCATATTAATGCGTCGCGATCTTTGCATAAAGATAATCACACCTACTAAATAAAGCGATACGATCTGCGGCCAGCGCAGTCTGCGCTCGAACATTTGTCCCTCGGTTTTTACTGTCAGCGTTTATAAAAAGTTACATAAATTATTTCGCAGAGGCTTTGGCGTCTTTCGGATCTTTCGGTTCGGCTACGGCTTCGGCGACATCCAAAAAATAAACACATATACATATAAAAGAAGATATGAAATTATGGATATGGAATGCCTAATTGATAATTATCGTTTTGTTCGCTTTTGAGCCAGCGGAGCGCGAGCTGTTTATAACTAAATTAGTGGATCAGCCGCTAGATATCTGTCGCACTCTCAAGTTGATGCTCGACCATCAATCAATGCTCATCAATCATCAAGCACTCCATCAGCTGATCGAGCTCAGCTTTGCGACAAATTATGCAATATGATGAGCTCTTCTAGCGACCTCCACGGAGCCAGAGGTGAATGTGTCGCAGCAGCTTCTGCTTCTGCTTCTGCGTCAGCCTTTGATCTGCTTCTTTCCCTTCTATAGATTTCAGCACCCGCCAGTCGCCTGACTGACTCATCGGCCTATTGTTAACTGTTTACTGTTGATTGGTTTAGGAGGCCACCATCTACGGCAATCGCCAACACTAACAGCTGAAGAATAACATAATTGGACATTTGGCCAGCATCCGATCAGAGCTATGGAAAATCCATGACAAACAACGCTTTATATAGTCAATTATAAACGCATTTCGATTATTCAATTTGCCATAATATTTAGCTGGAGGTCAAGCCGAAGTCGATAGATAATATACATAGAATGTATAGTGTAGAAAGATAAAGATATACATATGTATATACATACAGATGAAGAATACAAATACGAAAAATATAATATGTAGATACAGATTGGCCTAAAGATCCAAATCGGGAAAAAGGTACAGATACAGAGAGATACAGATGAAAATACAAATTGGAAACAAGTAAGAAGGCTCCAGTCGAGACTGCTCGACT